CGCCAGCGCTGGCGGTGCCCCCTCTGCCCACCCTCTCGGGCCGGTTGGTCCCCGCAGGCCAGCTCCCTGCACAGGACCGCGGAGTCCCCGGCGGCACTCAGGTGGATCCCGGATCTGGGTGAGGCCAGGGTTATGCAGTCCCCGCCGGCCTGCGGAGCCTGGCGGCTCGCTGGACACACACCCACACACCCACACACACACACACCCACACCCACACCCACACACACACACACACACACACCGCGGGAAGAGGCAAATGGGGAGCCGGGCTGCTCCTGGCAGCCCAAAAGATGACTTTGGTGCCTAACTCATACTTTGTTTTCTTTTGGCTGCCTTCCCTCTTCGCCCCCCCTCCCCCATTTTTCAAATGGGCACGTTCTAGTGGCACCGTGTGAATGCGAGGTTTCCCTCGCTTACGTGCAGTGTCTCCTTCCCCTCCTGCTGCTCCGCTCTCCTCTCCCCGCTTCTCCGGGCCTCTGGCCCTTGCAGCCCCCTCCCCTCCCCGCCTCTCCTTGGCTGATGACCCCGCGCCCTCGCCGGCTCCCCGCCTCGGCGCCCCCGCCTCACCGAGCTGCGTCTGCGAACTTCCTCGCCAGTCCTTGCGCCCTTTCCCTCCGTGCTGTTTGAAGTAGAAATGAGGAGGAGGAGGGTAGCGCCTTATGCAATTTCCGATCTCTTGATGCTCCTTGCTAGTATTTTTGTACTCAATTCGGGCTATACTGCTTTTGTTGCTTTGTTTTGAATTTGGTTACTTTTTGGCTTCTTGGAGGGGGAGGTGATGATAACAAGAAATGACTCAACCGAACCAGAATTGCTGTTGAGAACCACATCTATACCAAAGCAAAAAGACCAAGTGAAATTTTGATTTTACAATGAAAGTTGGTCTGAATGACGACATACTTAAGAATTCTGACTTCTTTCTTGCACTACCAGTCACGCTCTCGGGTGGATGGGGGAATGCATCTCCGTATGTCAGCCAAGGGGCGCCCAGGCAGCGCTGCCTGTATGCTGAACCAAGCCACTGAAAATGCAAACCTGCCTGGGTCGGCTGTTGGACTGACAGCCTTGAGACATGTTCAGTTTACCACTAGCTGATTCCTCGTGGACAAAATACACAAAGGAGTTTCTGTGTGACACTTCTGTCTTTGTATCACTCCCTCATTGTGTGTTCCTGGGTAATTTAATTAATATTTCGTGGTAACCATATTGAAATTGCAGCCAGCTTCCCATTCAAGGTGGAAAAGAATCACATGGCTAAAATGGCATCAATAAAATGCACAACGTTTGTTGTTCCCCTTAACCTTTCCCATTAATCATTGCGTATACTTGTGTATCCATGTGGTATTTAAGGCATTGGCTAAAACAGGTTAATTTGCTAAGCATTAAACTCTACTAAATTGATTCTTGATTTGTTTATAGACAGAAAGATGGGGTAGTAATATTTGGAAAGTGATGCTGGGAAATGATGATTTTCGGGCAACCATTTGCTGTAATAAATGTATTCGGGGCTGCAGGTACAGCCACTCAGTTGCAGTGTGGGAAATCTTCCTCAGCAGTGGCAACCTGTGGTCAAAGTGAAGGAAATCAGCATTTGAGCCAAGTGTCTGTCGGACCTGGGTTCAAAATGACACATGAAGGAATGGAAGAGGGCCAGGTAGGCAGGAGAGCCAGTTCTTGGGGGAGGGAAAGCTCTCTGGACATCAGCTAGACGGTGCAGGAGCAAGTAGGTTTCTCTCCTGCTTTTAGGGACCCAGAGACAAAAGGCTTTTCCCCCTCTGTTTGGAAGATGACTGATAGGAAACAGATACCATTTATATATCTGAATCTAAAACTTGCCCTTCCCTACTCTGTATTTTTCTAGAACCTCACAGGGTTATCTGTGTTTTTTAAGGCAGCAATGTACAGGGGTGAACTGATTTATGGTAATGTGCTCCCCAATGAGCTGAAGCTCAGGAAGATCTCTTCCCAGGGCTCCCTCCAGCTTGGCCTTTTTACTGTCCCCTTTACAGCAACTCAATCCTCCTATTGGCATCCTCCATTGAACACAGGGATCTAGTATCTCCTCTGATCCACCTCTTATCAAGCTGAAGTCTAGAGAGTAGACATCTACAAATTGAAATACCTTTGTGATGCTAACTACATGGCTACACAGAGGGGCTGGGATCAGTCATTAGAGCTGCACATAAGAAGCTTAAGGTTTGTGTTTGTTCAAGGGCACAGTTTGGTGGTCCATGTAGAGAAAAATTGCAGATGTGTAAGGTTTAAGCATGATCAACAGTCTTTTTTTCTGTTGTTTGTCATATGTTCTGCACCTGTAAATTTTGTATAAACTAAAGGTATCGAAATAAAATGTATGGCATTTGTCGTGATTATTGTTTGACTAAGTGAGAATACTTGGAGGTTTTGGTGCCTTAAAAATACCTAAGCTAATAAATATAACCACATATTTGGCCTGGTATGCCAAATTTTCAGTTACTGTACTTCCAAATAATTTTTCAAGTAATGATCATTGAAAAAAATGTCTTCTTTTTATTTTTTAGATTATTTCTCTTTATTCAGAAGCATAAAGTTGTTTGCTGATTGCAAGAAGATGTTTCTTTGGCTCTTTCTGATTTTGTCAGCCCTGATTTCTTCGACAAATGCAGATTCTGACATATCAGTGGAAATTTGCAATGTGTGCTCCTGTGTGTCAGTGGAGAATGTGCTTTATGTCAACTGTGAGAAGGTTTCAGTCTACAGACCAAACCAGCTGAAACCGCCTTGGTCAAATTTTTACCACCTCAATTTCCAAAACAATTTTTTAAATATCCTCTATCCAAATACATTCTTGAATTTTTCACACGCAGTATCTCTGCAGCTGGGAAATAATAAACTGCAGAACATTGAGGGAGGAGCCTTTCTTGGGCTCAGTGCATTAAAGCAGTTGCACTTGAACAACAATGAATTAAAGATTCTCCGAGCTGACACTTTCCTTGGCATAGAGAACTTGGAGTATCTCCAGGCTGACTACAATTTAATCAAGTATATTGAACGAGGAGCCTTCAATAAGCTCCACAAACTGAAAGTTCTCATTCTTAATGACAATCTGATTTCATTCCTTCCTGATAATATTTTCCGATTCGCATCTTTGACCCATCTGGATATACGAGGGAACAGAATCCAGAAGCTCCCCTATATCGGAGTTCTGGAACACATAGGCCGAGTTGTCGAATTGCAACTAGAAGATAACCCTTGGAACTGTAGCTGCGATTTGCTGCCTTTAAAAGCTTGGCTGGAGAATATGCCATATAACATTTACATAGGAGAAGCTATCTGTGAAACTCCCAGTGACTTATATGGAAGGCTTTTAAAAGAAACCAACAAACAAGAATTATGCCCCATGGGCACAGGCAGTGATTTTGATGTACGGATCCTGCCTCCATCTCAGCTGGAAAATGGCTATACCACTCCCAATGGTCACACTACTCAAACATCCTTACACAGGTTAGTGACCAAAGCACCCAAAACTACCAATCCTTCCAAGATCTCTGGAATCGTGGCGGGCAAGGCCCTCTCCAACCGCAATCTCAGTCAGATTGTGTCTTACCAAACAAGGGTGCCTCCTCTTACACCTTGCCCTGCGCCTTGCTTTTGCAAAACACATCCTTCAGACTTTGGACTGAGTGTCAACTGCCAAGAGAAAAATATACAGTCCATGTCTGAACTGACACCGAAACCTTTAAATGCCAAGAAGCTGCATGTCAATGGCAATAGCATCAAAGATGTGGACATCTCAGACTTCACCGAGTTTGAAGGACTGGATCTGCTCCATTTAGGCAGTAATCAGATTGCAGTGATAAGGGGATATGTATTCCACAATCTCACTAATTTACGCAGGCTCTATCTCAATGGCAATCAGATTGAGAGACTGTATCCTGAAATATTTTCAGGGCTTCATAACCTGCAGTATCTGTATTTGGAATACAATTTGATTAAGGAAATCCTAGCGGGCACCTTTGACTCCATGCCAAATTTGCAGTTGCTCTACTTGAACAACAATCTCTTGACGAGCCTGCCCGTGTACGTTTTCTCTGGGGCACCCCTTGCCAGGCTCAACCTGAGGAACAACAAGTTCATGTACCTGCCTGTCAGCGGGGTCCTCGATCAGCTGCAGTCCCTCACGCAGATCGACCTGGAGGGCAACCCGTGGGACTGCACTTGTGACTTGGTGGCCTTGAAGCTGTGGCTGGAGAAGCTGAATGACGGGATTGTGGTGAAGGAGCTGAAGTGCGAAACGCCTGTTCAGTTTGCCAACATTGAGCTGAAGTCCCTCAAAAATGAAATCCTGTGTCCCAAATTCTTAAACAAGCCATCTGCGCCCTTCACCAGCCCTGCGCCCGCCGTTGCCTTCACCACCCCGTTGGGGCCCATCCGAAGTCCTCCTGGCGGCCCGGTGCCTCTGTCCATCTTAATCTTAAGTATCCTGGTGGTCCTCATTTTAACCGTGTTCGTCGCCTTTTGCCTGCTTGTTTTCGTGCTGCGGAGAAACAAGAAGCCCGCGGCGAAGCACGAGGGCCTGGCGGGCGCCGAGTGCGGCTCGGTGCAGCTGCAGCTCAGGAAGCACGACCCCAAGGCCGCCAAGGAGGGGCTGGGCAGCGAGGCCTTCATCCCGCAGACCATCGAGCAGATGAGCAAGAGCCACACGTGCGGCCTGAAAGAGTCGGACGCGGGCTTCATGTTCTCAGAGCCCCCGGGGCAGAAGGTCCCCCTGCGGACCGGCGACAGGGACAAGGATTTACTGCACGCGGACAGCAGGAAGAGGCTGAGCACAATCGACGAGCTGGATGAACTGTTCCCGAGCAGGGATTCCAATGTGTTTATCCAGAACTTTCTAGAAAGCAAAAAGGAGTACAACAGCATAGGGGTCAGTGGCTTCGAGATCCGCTATCCAGAGAAACCACAGGACAAAAAGAACAAGAAGTCCCTGATCGGCGGCAACCACAGTAAAATCGTGGTGGAGCAGAGGAAGAGCAGCGAGTATTTCGAACTGAAGGCCAAGCTCCAGAGCTCCCCCGACTACCTGCAGGTCCTTGAGGAGCAGACGGCTTTGAACAAGATCTAGGCCCCGCAGTTTTCCTTCAAGCAGAGGACATTTATTTAACGATGAAAGTGCCTTTTGTTGACTTTTGACTCTCAAATACTATATTATCAATAGGCATAGAGACCCGTGTTTCCAAGGGTGTCTCATTAGCTGTAGCTGCAGACATGTGTCCAGTAGAAGAGAATTTCCTTAATAGATTTTACTACATAAAACCTATACTGTGGAAGTCCTGTGGGGATACTGCAAACTCTATTGCCAAAGGGATGCTTTATATACATAATACACTGACTTTAACCTCAAGAGGCAAATCTGTTTTGTACCCCGATGCAAAACCTTCGTCTCTTCGTGCTTTGTAAAGCGAAGTCAAGAAAACTGGTACCAGTGTTCCTGCCTCAGCTGGGTCCTTCATCTTGCACGTAGATTAAGTTGGTGGAACTGGAATAATCCTTTTGATTTGTGGCATTGTAACAACTCTGTGTAAAGATTATCTGAAAAGTTAAAAAAAAAGCATGCAAAGAGAGAACATTCGATAGTATTTGTAAATCGGTAACCTTTATGGCCTGCATCTTGAAACCGCTGGATTTATAATGTTAAATTGTGCAAATATTTGTTTAAAATATACCATGCATCACATAACTATAAAATAAATTTGACAATTTTAAGCATTACTTGTCTATACATAAAACCCAAGAGGAAAAAAAAAAATCAATGTGAGTTACATAGCGTTTGTGGTGATCTGAAAAAATACGTGACGTTTATCAGAATTAATCATGGCTCAAATTAAACTAACATTAGAGTTTGTTCTCAGTTATGTGAAATACCCACAATCCTTAAAGGTTGTCCAAAATTAGCGAAGTGCTTACCGTGTGAGCGCACCCAAAGCTATTTTTGTAACATAATTCATATTTATGAAGTACTTTGTATACTAAATAGGAAAATATGTACTCCTTAATATGTATTTAATATGCCTGACTTCTTTTCCTGATCACAGGGAATTTATCAATAAGTGTAAATTTAGACAGAAAAAATATACCAAACTGAAACTGAAGCTTATGTGTACAGAAATATTCTGGACATGGTGATCAGGTATAATTTAAAAACAAAACAAAACAAAAAAAAAAAAAA